CGCCGAAAGTTTACCGGGTCGACCCGCACGGGTTCAGGAGGTTGGTGCAGCAATTGACCGGGATGCAGCGGTCTGCTGCTCCGCGGATGAGAGAGAAAGCAGGGGCGCCGGCACCGATAAAGGTGGAGCAGAGGTTGGCGGTGCCGTTGATGGAGCAGACGAGTTTGCAAGGAGGTGGGGATCCGGAGATGATGAGTCAGGGTCCGAACGGGGGAATGATGGGGTTGTTGTCGCCGTCGTTTTATTCGAACTGGTGTTCGTTCCCTTTGTTGAGTCCCGCGTCGATGGCAGCCCTTGACTCTTAACTGGAGTCTCGATCGGGGGAGAAGTTTTTTTTTTCCTTCTCAATTTATTGTGGAAAATCAGTTGTTGTTTTTTTTTTAATTTAGTTTTTTTTTTAAATTCAATCTAGGTTTCTTTTCAATGATTAATCAAGCTGAATTTGTCTTTTTGATTAAGCTGGAGCTTTTGTCTTCTGATCGTAGTGTACGGTGGATAAGAGTGATTGCATCTCGTTTGTACCTCAACTTCTCATGAAGGACAAATTTTCAAAACCAACCCATTTGATAAACTAATTGTAAAAAACGACCCGTTTCAGATTTATTTAGAGAAACCGACCTGGTTTCAGCACTGTCGCTGAAACCAGGTCGGTTTTTTTAAAAAACTTTACGAAACTTCACGGGAGTTCAACTCCCGTGAAGTTTTTTCTCATAACAAAACTTCACGGGAGTTGAACTCCCGTGAAGTTTCGGAAACTTTTTTTCAAAAACCGACCTGGTTTCAGCGCTGAGGCTGAAACCAGGTCGGTTTTTACAAATAAAACTGAAATGGGTCTTTTTTTGGGAATAGTTTATCAAATGGGTTGGTTTTGAAAATTTGTTCTTCTCATGAATAATAGTAACAATGGCTAAAGTTGATCGATAAAGTCGAAAGAAATAAAACTGAACACACTAAATGATCAGCTGAAAAAAGGACTAGACTGAACAGGTAGCCGGATGAACTTGGTATTGCAACATAGCTACGGTTGACTGCTGTGTAAATTAAATTAACTTCCAAGAAGAAGGAGACGTATCAGATGTGATGAAGAAATGAAGATGCCCTTAATTTCCTCAAGGTTGATCATCGTTGCAGTCTACTCTTTAGGATTCAGTGATTGTTAGCCTTCCTTTGTAAAATTAAATTTACTTTCAAGAAGAAGGAAACACATCAAATGTGATCAAGAAATGAAGATGCACTTTCCTTGAGGTAGATCGTTGTTACGGTCTACTCTTTAGGATTCAATGATCGTTAGCCTTCCTTTGCAAGCATGCACTCGCAATGATCGTTAGCCTTCCTTTGCGAGCATGCACTTGCAATGCGCAGACCCTTCACTGCTAAAGAATTAGGCATCCTAGACGGAAAATTCCGTCTAGGATACACAGAATTCCGTCTAGGATACGTATCCTAGACGGAATTCCGTCTAGAATACACGTCTAGAAAGTTTCCGTCTAGGATGTAGTATTTTAGACGGAATTTCCGTCTAGAATACATACTAGACGAAATATTCTAGACGGAATTCAAAACCGTCTAGAATACATCCTAGACGGATTATTCTAGACGGAATTTCCGTCTAGAATAATGCATCCTAGACGGACAATATTTCCGTCTAGAATGAGTATTCTAGACGGAAATTTCCGTCTAGAATACTCATTCTAGACGGAAATTGATGTTATTTAATTTTTTTTTAAAAGGCATCCTAGACGGAATTTGAGCATCCTAGACGGAATTTCCGTCTAGGATACTAAGCTATAGTTTTTTTTTTTTTACAAAACCTACTTTGGGTGCATATACACAATATTGAACAACAAAAAATTATATTCATATCCAACACAATCTAATTATATTCCAATATCAAATCTCATTACATTCAAATAATACATTCACCAAAATAGTAGAGATACATAAATTGTTTACAAACTTTTACATAAATTATTTATAATGACTATGACACTGCAGAAGCTTCTTCAACTCCTTTATCCGTTCCGAGATGGTTAGATTCAGGATTCACACTGAAGCATTGGATAACTCCTTTGACTTTAACACTACGAGTGGTGTAGTTGCCACCAGCTGGCTTTGCTGTTACAGCAGAAAGCAACACATAATAAGTTGGAATATATTCAGATTAAAGCACTCCTTAGAAGGAGGCCGTTAATTAGAAAAATGTATGCACATTATCACATGAATTATCAAAATAAAGATCATATATCAGTGGCCAAATGAAAAAGAAATGGTTTCACAGTATGATTTGCATAATTCAACAAAGCACGTCAAATGTTGAAATAAGGCTACTTTCCTTTCTTTTCCTTTTTGTTTTCTTTAAGGCATACTATTATAGATCATGATCAACTGGCCAATAACAGATCACGGCTGAAGATGCCATTAAACAAATATGACTGCACTGATACACATGGCAGGTGATATTCAGGGTTTATAAGTAGTAGTCAAACTGGGATAGAATCGTTACTCACGAAGGTGTTCATATTACTAATTATATGTTTTAATAACATTTGCACCAAACAAGTTTGAAACTAAAAAATTACTAATTCTGAATTCATGGTTTAGTGTGAACTAGTTGATTTGGCAGTCACAAAATGTCATAATATACCCATTTAATCCTGTGCATGCTGGGTAATTAATACCTTGTAGAAAGGAGAACATGTTATCTGAGGCATGCTGATCCTTTTTGAATTTGATGATCCGAGCCTACAATTAATAATAAAAAAAAATTATCCATCCTATTTTCTACCACACACATGATGTCATATTTCTTCATAATCAACAAGAAGCTCACCAGGCCATTTTGATCTCCAGTAATTTAGTGAAAATAATAGCAGCTTATTCTTTAACTTAAACTAAAATAATATCGTATGAGTTAAACATTAAGATTCAGAGAATTTCAACTCACTTGAATGGATCTCCTGATCCGCATCAAAGTAGTGAGAAGGGTAATACATGGAAGACTTTATTTTCTCCATGTAGTTCCTGTTAACTCATCAAAATCAATATTAAGCACAAAGACTCAAGAACCTACTTTTATTTCTACAACGAATTTCATAAACATTCTTTTCAGTAGTAAATGGTGGTCCAAGATAAAACCATGAATCACAGTATTATACCGATCCCAATCTCTTTTATACTAACAAGGACATTAACTCCTGGATGACCTGCTATCCATTGAACATGGTCCACTAGATAATTTATCCTAAATTAATATGGCACTTGACATGAGAAAAGTTAGGCGTGACGAGCAATTCTATCAACTTGGGTTGCATTAAGAAGGATATTTACATAACTAAGGAGTAGTATCAATTATTTATATGCTACCATGAGTACCCGGATACTATAGGTAACTGGTTAAGACAGCATGAAAGAAATTATATGAAGAATTAATATTTACAAAATTAGGCATTATCAATATGCCCTGTTAAATAACTGAAATGCTTAGAAAAAGCCATAATTTTCTTTACAAAATTAGGCATTATCAATATGCCCTGTTAAATAACTGAAATGCTTAGAAAAAGCCATAATTTTCACATGGGAATTTATACAAAGAAATGCTTAGAAAAAGCCATAATTTTCACATGGGAATTTATACAAACACATTGCATGCCATCCAGCTGGAAAAAAATTCAAGAAACTTTCAAGCAACTTGAGCTTCAGCGCTGCAACGAGCTCAGGATCAGGGCCCTGAGTACTTGTCAGTGGATCGAAAGCTGGGGATTCCTCGAGCGTCGATGCTCTGCCAATTAGACCCTTATTCCTCTTATGGGTCAGCTGATTCCTCCCTAATTCTGATCGGAATTGGTTCAATTTGATAAATGGGCGGTTATGGTGATGATGAGAGCGACAGTGCAGAGACGAAGGAGGTAGAAGAGGAGAGGAGAGGGTGAGGTCGAGGAGAAGGGTGAGGAGAGGGTGAGGTCGCCGGAGAAGGGGGAGGAGAGGGTGTAGAGGGCGGAGGAGTGGAGGGCTGAGGGGGAGGTGGAGGGATCATTTTTTTTTTTGAGAGGAGAGGGTGAGGTCGAGGAGAAGGGTGAGGAGAGGGTGAGGTCGCCGTCTAGAATATTCCGTTTAGAATACACGATTTTCTACTAGTGCTTGAAGAACTTGGTTTCCCCCCTCTATCAAGTAATTGCATACAGTGGTAAAAGTAGGAGAGGAATGAGGAAATATAAGATATTGTTTTTGCTATTTTTAACGTTATATTGATTTTCAAAGAGAAGCACTAGGCAATTAAACAGAAAAAAACTGATTTCTTTGACACATAAGAAATTTCTCGTAACCAAACAAAGTGCACATTGAATTTTTTTTCTTGAGAAATTTTTTGGTATCGGTATTGGGAGTTTTTGCTCTGTGGTGAGTTTTTAGTCGAAATATTGAATTATAGGTTTCTTCAAAAAAATCATTTATGTTGTGTTTGGTCAAAAAATAGAGGAAAGAAAGAAAGTAAGGTAGAAAAAATTCCACTTTTTGATTAGAAGAAAATGCAAAAAAAAAGGTGTGTGTGTGGTGGTGGTGGTGTGTGTGTGTGGTGGGGGGTGGGAGAAATGAGAGATTCTATAAGAAAAACGAGATGAAAAACATCCTCAATTTTTTCTTGCGGGAACCCAATGAAGGTGGAGGAAAGTTCTTCAACAAGCAACTCAAGTAGAGATGATCAGAACGCACCAATATTCTCTTCTCTAAAGAAGTTTTACTCACTTTTATTCCATGTGAGCCCATGCAGAATAATTTATTGCCTGGTTTACTTGTAGCTTAGGCCCACAAAGTTCAAATTGCTCACTTTGTTCATGTAGGACCCAAATAGACCCAATAAATAAAGGTAATCATATTTCTAGCTCTCAAAATCAAAAAGCAAATATGTCACATCCTCAACATTAAGTTGACGTGTCAAAAATCCCAAAAAATCCAAATTTTTTTGCTCCTAGCCTCAAAATTGGTACCCAGACACTAGTAATTTTAAAAAAAAGAAAAGGTAAAAAAATTGCTCACAAGGCATTTCACTCTCATCTCTTTCTTCTGTCATTTCCCTCTTCCTCTCATTTCTTTCTTCTTCCCTTTCCTTCTCCTCCAGCAACCCACTACCTTGACTTCTTCGCACCCACCAATATCTTACATCCATGTCCTTACATTCCCTCATTTTCCTCCTCTTCCTCTGGCTACATCATACATTCATTCTTCTTCCTCCCTCCCTTCCCTCCTCCTCCGGCAACTCATGCTCTGCTTTTTTGGGGTCACCATCGTACATCCATCCTCTTCTCTCCCTTCCCTTTCTTCATCCTCTTACAACTCATGTCTCGACTTTTTTGGGCTCACCGTCATACATCCTCCCTCCTATCTCCTCTTCTTTCCCTGATCCTCCGCCAGCTTTAAATCTCCACATCCCCTCTCTTTATGCTCTCTCTTATCTCTCCCCCACTAGCAACCTCTGCATTGACTTCTTCTACATAATCCACATCACTTCATCCTATCTCGTCACCTTCCTCATCTCTTTTACCACCACCCCCTCACTGCAAACTCATCCCCACAATTTTCTTTTTTCCGTCCCTCTTAATCTATCAAATTTAGGGTACAGGGATGGCTATGACACGACTTAATAACAAACATATAGAATTAACAACAAACATATAATCTTAACAATTAACTGGATAAGCTTAACAACCATTGGCTATGCTAAATAGCTGACAAAAAACTTAGCAACCAATGTATAAGTATAACAACTGATAAAAAACCTTAACAATCACATAAGCTTAACAACCAATGCATAAGCTTAGCAACTAATAAAAAAATATAATAACAAATGCATAAACTTAACAATGAACACATAAGTTTAACAAATAACTAAAAGACTTAATAATAAATGCATAAGCTTAACAATTGATAAAAAATTACAACAAACATATAAGAGTAACAATCAATGTATACGCTTAACAAATAACAAAAAAGCTTAACAATAAACCTATAAGCTTAACAACTGATAAAAAGTTTACAAGAAATATATAAACTTAACAACTAATTGTCAAACTCATGCATTTATATAGTTTAAGCTTTTTTGTTAATTGTTAAGCTTATGCGTTTATCGTAAACTTTTTATCAATTGCTAAGCTTACGTATTTGTCAATAAGCTTTTTCCTCGGTTGTTAAGCTCGTGCATTAAATATTAATGATTATCCATTAGTTGTTAAACTTATATGGTTATTGTTAAGTTTTTTCTTAGATGTTAAGCTTATATATTTGTGGTTAAGCCTTTTTATCGGTTGTTAAGCTTATGCATTAATTGCTAAGCTTATGCATATGTATTATATTTTTCATCAGTTATTCAACATAGTCATTTGTCATTAAGTTTATGCATTTGATATTAAGTTACCCTAATTTTGAGAGATTAAGAGAGAGAAAAATTAAAATTGTAGGCATGAGTTTGAGGTCAGTGAGGGGGTGACAGACCTAGGTAGAAGAGACAAGGAAGGCGATGAGGTAGGAGGGGTGGTGGGAACACCTAGAAGAAGTCAAGGAAAGAATATCGGAAGAGGAGAGAAGGAGAGGGTATAGGGAAGGAGATGTAGAAATTTGATACTAGAGGAGGAGGAGGGAAGTGTATGGAGATAAAGGACGAATATATGATTGTGGACCCAAAAATGTTGAGGTAGTGGTTGTCAGAGGAGGAGGAGGGAAGGAGAAAGAAAGAGATGAGAGAAGAAGAGGAAAAGAAGAGAAGAAAGAGATGAAAGGGAAAGATATTGTGGATATTTTTTTGGACTTACTGGTGATGTTATAACAAATCCCCATGAATAGACTATATCAATCACACGAAAGTACTAAAAATATCAAAAATATAAAAACACACGATATGCGTAGTTTGGCTTGTAGCCTACGTTCGTAGGCGAAGGAGGAGAATAGCTTTACTTACAATTTATGAGAAATACAATGTGAAGATCTCTCAATCACCCAATCTCTAAATTGCACCCCTACAAAGCACTTAATATCTCTAACAATTTCTAACAGCTGTAAAGTTAATCAAATAAAGAGCCAAACCAAAAACTTCTTGAATCTATTATTTTATCTTACAAAGCCCTTTTTAATGTTTAGTGCTACTGTCGGATGGATCAAATACAAACTCTCTTAAAAAAGAACACAAAAGAGAGCATATTGAAAAGCCAAATTATATCTCATGGCTTCAAAAAAACAATCTATTTCCTCTCTAGATGCGACCTGCAACCTTAATTGTTTTCTCTATGTTGTTGTCTGCATAACTCACGGGTTCATATCTAAAGAATAATAAATAGCCTCTGTCAAAGATTTCTTGTTGCTCAAGGAATCATATTGGGTTAAGAATTTTGGGCATGAGTTTGAGATCAGTGAGGGGGTTGTAGACCCAAGCAGAAGAGAGAAGGGAGATGATGAGATGGGAGGGATGGTGGGACCACCTAGAAGAAGTCAAAGAAATGGTTGTTGGAGGAGGAGGGACGAGATATGGTATAAAGGACGGGTGTAGATATTTAAAGCTAGAAGAGGAGGAGGAAATGGAGGGTAGATATGGTGCGGTTGTATGATGGTGGACCAAAAAAACTAAGGCAACGGTTGTTGGAGGAGGAGGGAAGCGAAGAAAAAAGAGATGAGAGAGGAAGAGGGGAAGAAGAGAAGAAATAGATGAGAGGGAAAGACATTGTGGTGATTTTTTTTCTTCTTCTTTTTTGAGTTATTGGTGATATGACATCGAATTTTGGGGGCTAGTAGTATAAAAATATGGATTTTGGGGGTTTTGGACATGTAGACTTAGTTTTGAGGTGGGGGCATATTTGCTTTTTTATTCTGCGGGCTAGAAACATTTCCCCCATAATTAAATTGTTGTTAGCTTGATGGGTTTTAGCCTACAAATTTATTATTAGATTAATGATGGGAAAAATTCATATTATGCCAATCTATATATCAGCTCATATACTGAAATAGTGACTACTTTTCTTTAAATCCTTTCTACAACTTTCATTACAACCAAACATATGAAATGACCTTATTTCTCTTCCTTTGCCTTTTCTTTTCTTTTTCTTTTTCCTTTTATTTTATTTTCTCTTATTTCCACTCAAACCAAACATAGCCTTAGAGGGTACGGAGTAGATTACATTTGTTCTAGTGTCAAACAGAGAATGTGGATTGAGCTTAATTTATGTACTTGTTATACCATCATATAGCCTAAGTGCTAATCCCCCCTCTAGAGTCGACACATGTCACATGCCAACCAATCATCAGATCGACTTCACGCGAGTCAAGAAGCATTCACTCAAAACTCATCATTCAAGTTGATTCCACTCCTCTTCAATCCGCAAGGCCGGGTCGACTACCTTCGAGGCTGACTAAAAAGGCAGCACTTGTCGGCCCGCTCGCAGAGCCAAGTTAAGAGACAGTTTATCCTCGAACCCCTCACTGATTGCTAGTCAGGATTACCACTGCTCCTTCCACGAGTCTCCATGACTCATCACCCTCAGTCAGCATCATGCCCCCAATGTCGTCATCACATCAAGCTTATAGATGACTCATCTCATCTACAGACAGCACTTATAAAGCATCTGCCGACTCAACTGTCTATTTCGGCAAGGCCAAAGTTACATATTCACCCCTCTAAGCTGGGTATATATAGACTCATCGCCTCCTAACCAAGGTAAGACATCTCTAGCTAAAGAGAGAAGCTTCTTACAGAATAACGCAATTTTTACATACATAGAACTTGTTTAGCTCATTAATCCTTTTTTCACTTAAGCTAAATACTAACTTGATTGTTGGAGAGATCACCGGAGAACCTAACTCTGGTCCTCTAATGTGTAGTGATTTTGCATGACTCTTCCTATTAGAAAATCGGCTATCAGAAGGGACGAAGAGATCCCCAACACATTAGTTGTCAACCCTCAACACCGCTATTGCTCGGGATTAGCCCCTAATCTCACTGTTGAGAGCTCAAGCATTGTTTATCATAATTTTAATGTTTTGATCATAAAGATTTAAAATGGATGCTAAGATACATGTAGATTATTGTGTATATGATTTTCTATAAAAAATTCCAAAAAGTCTTGCCTACGGTCGAATAAAGTCGACAAAAGCCCATGGGCGTAGGGATCAGATCCAAGCATAATTGTATTAGTTGATTTGCTTCTTGAATCCAAATTGGCTTCTGCTTATCTTTGGCCCAAGAGAAGCAAAACAATTTAACAAAGCAACTACTTTAACTTTGAAATTTTACTAGGAAAACCCCCTTATTTTGGTTGGGGCATTCTTGAAAAACCTCAAAGTTAAAGGGAATTTTTTGGTAATTTTTGAAAGTTAAAAGTGGAATTGTGATAATCTCTATACTTAAGGGGGAGTTTTTTTAACATTTTAAAAGTTAAGGGAACTTTTTGTTAATTGTTCAAACTTAAGGGGGATTTTCCGATATTTACCCTTATATTTCCACACTGGATGTGGAAATTAAAACTCAGATCCTTTTATGAAGTAGTTGGAGTGTACTTGCATTGCACAGGTCAAAGATCTTATACATGTATATTTTAGATTTATTTATTTACTATAACATGGTTGCAAAAAGGTTTATAATTTCCATAATATATTAATATTTTAAACACTTCCATACGTAAAACCTTGTTGGTTTTGATATTTTGCCTTTCCAGAGGAATGGTGCAGTTTAAACTCTTAAAATATTAATGATTTAAGAATAATTTCAATAATTTGAAGGATTAATTTCAAAATATTAATGATGTAAGTGACCAATGTCCAAAAGAATCTTACTATTAATAAAAAATTCTTGAATTTATCAAAGAAAAATGGTAGGTTTTCTCTAGTGCTCATAGATTTTATTTAATTATAAAAAAATCACTTTCAACTGTTATTTATAGCCAACAATCAAATATTATATTAATTCAAAAGTTTTTTTCTAGAATTATCTGAGTCAAAATGTGCAAATTCATGAAGGAATACACAAATTATGTGATCAATTTTAAAATCTAATTTTGTAATCCTTCCATATTTTTCTAACTACCCTTCGTCTAAAATTTCCAAATTGATTAGGTGTTAGAAAATTATAAAATATAATTCGAATGCACTCGTATGTATTGTATTTTAACAAAAAAGTTTAGAGTTATC